TCCAGCTTTCCAATCCTTTCTGCTCCCGGGCAGAATTTGACCCAGCGTTTCTGTCCGCAAATATCTTTGCACTAATTCTCTAAAACTGTTCAAAACGAACTAGGCCTTGCTTCCGCGCGCGCCTCTGGACGTACGAGTGAGCCCGCTGTCTCGTGTGCATGCGCAGGTGTGGAGGAGCTGCAGGCCCTGCGCGACGAGGCGACCGAGAGGAAGTTCCCCGACAACGAGCTGCTGCAGAGGCTGAACACGACCATCGCGGACACCGAGCACTCGGTCACCGTCTGCGGCGAGCTGCTGACCCACACCCACAGCAGGTAACGCCGCCCGCCGCGGCCCGGCGCGCGCTCTGCACCGGGGGGTGCGGGCGGGCTGCCCAAAGTCTGAACGGAGGCCGTCTCTTGCAGGAGAATGACGTTGGACGAGCTGAAGGCATTTGTGGATCGGATGCACAGCCTGCCGTGCGTCATCAGCCAGCTCGATGAGGTCAAGGTGAGAGGAGGCGCCGAGACGTGCCGTTCGCCGCAGCTTGTGAAAACGGGAAATCCGTGGCGGGACTGTAGCGCCCCCTGCGGTTCTGTAGCGCCCCTCTTGCGGTTCTTGTCCTGGACGGTCTGCGGATTGACGCCTCTCCCTCTCTCGCAGGCCCTCTTGGAGACCGTGGAGCAGTTCCAGCGCAGTGCCCGGTCCGTCCTGAAGGGGGCGGAGTTGAGCCCGGCCTGCCCCGAGGAGCTGGAGGCTCTGCTGGAGCAAGGGAGCCGCCTGGCGGCCGAGCCCCCCGAGTGCGCCCTGCTGCGGGGGCTGCAGGAGCAGGGCCGCTGGCTGGAGGAGGTGCGGCGGACGCTGGGCGCCGGGGGGCAGGGCGTGACGCTGGGGGTGCTGCGCGGCCTGATGGAAGCCGGCTGCAACATCCCGCAGAGCGTTGCCGTGGAGACCGCCATGGCGGAGCTGCAGGAGCTGCTGACCATCGCCGAGCGCTGGGAGGAGAAGGCCCAGATCTGCCTGGAGGACAGGTACAGTGCCCAGTGAGTTTCACTGTACACTACCTCAGGTGTGGCTGCTGTACTGTAGCACCTTGTAGACTAGTTCAGCCTGCAGAGAACACTACAGCAGTACAG